GCCATTCGTCGGAAGGAAGGTTGGGCAATCTAGTTCCGTAGTGATACTGTCTCGGAAACCCAAAGAGGGGTCGCTATGAGTCGGGTCCGACTTGATGGCACAAAACAACAATACCACCATCTGTAATATTAAGCAAAGGAAAGGCCCATAACTCAGGCCTTTAGCAGGTCTATAAAAGAGCTCTCCAGGCATTCAAATTCTTGAATGTATTTTAGCAAACCTGACTCTCTTTAGAGTAGGTAACATTCTTATACAGATAACAGAAAATACTAACCATAAAAGAAGACAGATAAATTAAACTTAATAAAAATTAAGAATTTTCAGAACCCAAAGACACAACCAAGACCATAAAAAGGAAATCTAGATTGGAAGAATCTATTTGGAATATATATTTCTGATAAAGGCCTTATAGCCAATATGAATAAAGAATGAATACAAATTAATAAGAAAAAGGCAAAACAACCAGTTTAAAAAAAAAAAAAAACTTAGCCATATTCAAATATGTAAAATACATATGTGTTCAAATCATCCCTATCAACATATTACTATACACTCATATTGACAAAGTTGAAGAGAATATGGAAATGGAAATGGAAATTAATACAATCACTTTGGAAAACTACCTGGCAATATCTAATAAAGAGAATCAAATGCATATCTTATGACCCAGTAATTCTGCTTCAGGGTAGAGGTGCATACATATGTGCCCTACAGCTAAAGAATATCCATACCAACATTTTTTTGCAACAACACTAACCAGAAAACCCAAAACCCAAATGCCTAAATAGAAAAGTAAGTCATAGTATATACAATGTAATAATAGTATATACAAGTCATAGTATTATACAATGAAACAGTGTATCATAATGAGAAAAAAACAAACTTGCTGGAACAAAATTGCATCTCATGTTGAAACAAAAAAAGCTAGACACAGAATAATACATATAACATGATTCCACTTATATAAAGTTGAAAAGCAGGCAAAAACCAATTCTATGATAACAGAGGACAGAATAATGGTTACTTCTGCTGGAAAGGATGACTGGGTAGGGGAACCAGTGAGGGACCTGGTCCCATTAGTGTGCTTGCTATATTTTGATCTGGGGGTGTTTACACAAATGGGTTCATGTCTGTACACATACACTGAGCCATTCACCTATGATTTGTTTACTTTTCTATGTGACTGCTATACTTCAGTAAAAGTGTTTACTTAAAAAATAAAAGAGTGGAGTCTCTACCTCAAGAATACCAGGCTTGATGAATGAAGTAACAGTGCAAGTCTAAGACCTCAAGTACTATCAATACTACAGAATGGAGTAAGGACTGGGGAATTTTACACAGTTCTCAGCAGTTGCCTGAGAACCTTTCTTCCAAATGCTGCTCTAGCACCACAGTGAGAAGATGATGGTTTCCTTGCAAGTGCTGCTATTAGTTTTCATTTCCCAAATAATTCTCCAGAACTGGCAACAGCCATGGAAGAGAATAAAGAAGGCAGAAGTCACTGAGAAATAAAGCAGTGGAGAGTTTGAAGAAACCTTTAGGATATCATGGGGTATAGCTTTCTGCCTTCAAGAAAGAAAACATTTGAGATTCCCAGACAAAGAGAATAGAATTTCTTTTTTTTTTTTTAAACAATGACATGAAGAGATGGTAGGTGGTTTCCATCTGACTAACAATAATTTGATGTATCAGGTTATTGCTGTTAAGAATCATTTAGGACTAATTTTGCTAATGATGTACCTTAAGAAGCTAAGTCATGTTCTTCTGGAAGGCATCTTGTCCGAATGTTCTTAAAAAACCTCTTTAATCTGTTGGCTCTTATTTGTTAAACATACAGTAATACGAAGACATAATAGAATGGACTATTTGGCAAAGTTCCAATATGCACAAGTAGTAATACATAGTTTCATGATCCTGAACTTCTGAGTGTTATATCCTGTGTCCTACCCTATAAAAGTATACTTACTTTATAACCAGTGTCATATTTAACAGAACTCATAATGCATCTCATTGCTCACTTACATATATTTATTCATTCTATTTATAACCTTGACTTTAAAAGTCTTTTATACTGACAATACTTTAAAGTGTTTCTTACCATTCTTTCCCAAGCTAATTCACATTCATTCACACTACAATAACCAAGTACCCAACACCATGTTTGTCAAAAACCCAGTCATCAATGGTCAGTCATATCTTTTGAGAACTATTCTGCCACATATCTTATTGGCTAAATCTTTCCCGTAAAAAAAAAAAAAAAAAAGTACTCAGCTTTCTAACATGCACAACAGCCAAACTATTGAGTCCTTCAAGTATAAACAGCAGTTAGTGGATAAATGCCATATAATATTGTGGCTAGGTCTGAAGATGATCCATTTATTATACTACAAATGGCTTAACAAAAAGTTGTTTATAACTTACAGGAATTCTAGAATACCTTTGACCAGACTGCTGTTGTACTTTTGTATCTGAAAAAGAAATTGCACGTATGTGGCGCCATCAAATCCAATGCTCCAGCTTGGTTTTGTTCTCTATTACAAGTGAACTTCATTCAGCATAAAGGGATATGTCATAAAAAGTCTAGTATGCAAATTTAATGTATCTCTTACCAAATATCACCATGATTATGACACTAGGAATAACCTAACAAACTGAATAAAGATCACAAGACCAATGTTGAACATTCCTCTTACACCATTTATACTACAGGTCACCAGAATGTTCCCCTTTCAAAACAACTTCCCAAACAGAAACTTCAGGAAACTCTTCAACTATTACAGGATCTGAGTATCATCAAGGAACCTCTATTCAATCAGAGACACCTGCTTCAAGATAGGGAGGGTAAAAGGTCAATCAAAGTCATTGGATCAAAAAAAAAAAAAAAAAAAACTTCTCTACTCAGTTAGACTTCAAAAGACACAGTTTCTGAGAAATGCCAGGAACTGAAAAGAAGGTGAGAGGATTATGAAAAAGATAACTGCAAATCAAAAGAATCCAAAAACATGCAAGAAGTTTCCTATAGTATGCTCCAAAAATATTCTGATTCTTATCCAAGTGAAGACTAGAAAGTTTGTGTGTTTCTGTAATAAAGAGTCAAATTATGAAGCATAAGGTAAAAAGAAAATAGCTTTTCATTTGTGTTTTTAAACACTGGCATTTAATAGAATTTAAATTGAAGCACAAATTTCAATAGCATGACTTACCGGGAAGTGGTTGCTCCTCCAATCAACAACGGAATTTTTATAGCTAATCTCTCCATTTCCTTGGCCACAAAAATCATTTCATCTAGGGAAGGAGTGATAAGTCCTGACAGGCCAATTATATCTATTATTTTAAGAGAAGAAGAAAAGAAAAAAGAGACAGTGAGAAGGAGCATGATAGTGAGGAGAGACAAAGAGAAGAAAATACAAAGAGGAAAAAAAAATTAAATTGTATAATTAAAACCACAAGACCTAACATGGATTTCTAATTTTTAATTTCAAGACGTTATGTCTAACTTGTTGTTATGTGCCATTGAGTTGGACCTGACTCATAGCGACCCCTCGTTGGGTTTCCGAGGTGGTATCACTACGGAAGTAGATTGCCCAACCTTTCTTCTGAGGAATGGCTGGTGGGTTTGAACTGCCCGCCTTCTGGTTAGCAGTCAAGTGCCTTAGGCACTATGCTACCAGAGCTCCCATGTCTAACTGGGGGATAACAATTTATTTTTTGCTTTTGGTAACACATATGATTTGTAACTTTCAGTTGCAGTAATATACTTGCTGTAGTTTTAGGAAATCACCCAACAGAATATAACCTTAGTTTATGATTTCTCAGACTCAAACATGTCACAGTGTCTAAGGAAACATAAAAGACTATATACAGAAAATTAATACAACTGTTCCAATTCCCCATCTCTAAGTGGTATAAAGGAGTTCCACTGGAACTTAATTACCTTGCTCAACCCCTATTATTAATGGTGATAAGCAGAGTCCCCATGCCGGATCTGGCACACTTGATTGTCTGAATGTTCCACAGGTCCCACATGAACAGACAAATCGAACAAATGACATTTCATGAAATGCCCAGAACTACAGTTGCACATTACCTGCTTTGTGGTCAAGAGCAGCTTTCAATATCTTATCGCAGGGAGTCATGACTCCTAAATCAATAACCCTGAAGCGAAGAAAAGAGATGTGAGAAAATTAATGAGGACCCATTAGAGACAAAGCTAAAATGGACATTTTAATTTCAGTCATTAAATACTGCTCTAATGTGAACTAGAATCACATTGAAATGCTCACTACTTACCAATAACCACCAAAAAACTACCATTAATTAGGGATCTGCCAAATGTCAGCCACTATGCTAATCATTTACATAACTAATTCTATAGCAGAAATACAGCAATGGCTCCATTTTAATGACAAAGACCCAGAGAAGGTTGGGCCCAGTCCAGAGAAGTTAAGCAACCTGCCCAGTCACATAGCTAGTTAATGGCAGGGTTGGAATTTAAGCCAGGATCTGATACCAAAGTCCATTCTCTTGGACACTAGACCAATAAAAGTGCTAGAGAAATTCACTCAAAAAATACCTACTGTGCAATACAGTACATGGAAGCCACTGAGAAAGGTAATCAAAAAGTCAGTTCCTACACATGAAGAGCTGATAATGGGGGGAATGAGATCATTAAGACAAGGAAAAGAGAAGAATGAATCAGAGGGCAGTTCAACAGGAGAGAGATGGGATGAAACTCAAAGAATCTGATTCTGAGTAGGTAAAAACAAAAGGGAGTGGAGCATTTTGAGCAAAGAAAGCTAGGAGCATGTTCTGAGAAAATAGAGTAATACCAGAATTTCAATTCATGGAACTTCCAGGAACTCAAAGAAAAAAAAAAATAGGAATTCTGCCCTGAAAAATGTTCCATGTATTATTTTATTTAGAGTTAGGGAACACTCCGTGTTTAAGGAGCCCTCCAACTTGACAGCAGTGAGTTTGGGTTTTTTTGGTTATAGTGAACAATAAGTCTCTTTCCTCACCCAGCTGTCTAGTACTCACTGTTAAAAGTT